AAGAACATTGATAATGAAAGGAAGATTCTTTATTTTCAGATAATGTATTTCCATTGTGTTAAAGAAAATTATCATACAGACAGTACCTTTCTATATATATTTACAAAATAATATATAGTGATGTAATCAGATTTATCTTTTTAATAGATATTATACAGACTGAAGTAAATTATGAGTTTTCATAAGCTTGAATTTCTAATTACTAAATACCAACAAATAAAATTTTCATTTAATAAATTACAGATCTGCTTTTAAATTGTTGTAATTAATTACTACCAATTGATGAAATTTTAAGTTTATTTATGTGAAATGTCAGTAACATTATTATCTGAAGATGTTATTATGATTCAGTGTTATAAGTTCATTATTTCTCAGTATTGATAGTTCTCTATGTTAATGTTTCAGTATAAATGGACTGCTGATCATTCATTAAAATTTACAGATTCAAAATATTTTTTTAGGACTTTGTTTACAAACAAATTTTGATTATTATCACTTTTTCATTACTGAGGTCATAACCATATATAAAAATCATTTTTCTTATGATCTTCTTCCATTTCTTATAATAATTAAATTGGTCAAATGATATGACCATGTGCTGGAATATGGAGACAAATACTTTATTCAGGGTGGTGAAATATATTTGTTTTTTGGGTTGTTTTTTTTCATTGACTATATATTTGGCCAATAAAAAAATGCTGTTCAATAGATCCTTAGACTTAATTGATTTACAGCTTACTTAATAATAGGCATTCTCTAACAGAAAGTCCCTCCCACTGTTTTGAAGTATATCACCCTATATTGGCACCCCCACTGGTTTGTAATATATCACACATCCCAATATACAATACACAGCTCCCAATATACAGCTTGTTAACTTCCAATAATGTGCCAGCCCCATCTGTTTGTATATAGTTAGGATCCATATCCCACTGTTTTATGAGGGGCTGAAATTGGTCTGTATCCAACTGTTTTATGAGGGGCTGGGATAGATGATTTGTTTATTATTGAAGTAAAAAGAATGATCTTAAAGAATCTATGTTTTAACAATTGACTAATTTTAACCACAATGTCACTTCAACATTCTATATATCCTATTTTAATAGTTTTCTGTGAATATATATCCTGATAAGATTATTTTGATTTAATTTTAGTGTGAAATATTTCTATGTACAGTTGCAAAGCTAACTACTTCCATATCACACAACATAAGAACAAGATAAGTTTAGTGTTTTTGTAAAATTAAAAAAGAATCATTTGCTCATTTCTGTTACATCTGTCCACTTCAGTACCTTATTTTGAAAACACCAAAAAAAATAAAAATATAATATATATATATTTATATTTGTCCGATTTTCATTTTAGCTTTAATATTATGTTGATAAATTGTTGGTCCACTGAAGGTTAGAGTAACATATAATCTATTTCATGTAAATAATTTTCGTAGAAAAAAATAATATCAGTTGCTTTGGAGATTTAGCGTAAAACTCCCTTTGTGAGATTTAGTAAGCACCATATGAGCCGCGTCATGACAAAACCAACATAATGGCTTTGCGACCAGCATGGATCCAGACCAGCCTGCGCATCCACGCAGTCTGATCAAGATCCATGCTGTTTGCTTACAAACCCTATTACAAGTAGAGAAATTGATAGCGAACAGCATGGATCCTGATCAGACTGCGCGGATACGCAGGCTGGTCTGGATCCATGCTGGTCACAAACGCACTATGTTGGTTTTGTCGTGACGCGGCTCATATAAATTTAATACTGATGATAGGGACGGATGTTACAGACAACTGTTACATAATTGCCGGAAAAAATGGCAATTTTTGTAACATTTTCATAGTTAGACTATCAATAAGCACCAGTAACATGGTAAATTTATTTATTTGATCATTTATTACATCTGATTTCCTTTGAACTTAAAATTGTTCTTCTTCAATTCTTCATAATATAATTTCATTCACTACAGTGATATTCTTTATACATTTGATTACCACTTAACATAAGAGCATTTACTTAAAGACCTAGTCAATTTTCACATCTTATGCAGTCCTGTTACTCATCCAAAACATAATAATCAACACCAAAATACATAAAAAAAAGAAAGATCACTAAACAAAATTAAATAGAATTATTACACTCTAATTATTATTAATTTAAGGTCTTTTGTGCCTCCCTAGCAGTCCTTTGTGCCCCTTAGCAGTCCTAAGTGGTCCAGCAACTCATCGAAAACATAAATTCTATCACCAAAATTATATTTTTTCTTAAAGTAATACATTTTTTGTCATTAAACATACTACCATATATTACAAGAATTTCTTTGGAGGTCCTTTAATGCCCTTTGTGCCTCCCTAGCGGTCCATAGCGGTCCGGCAACTCATCGAAAGCATAAATTCTATCACTAAAATGATATTTTTTCTTAAAATTATACATAAGAATGCCCTAGGAGGTATTTTAAGGTCCTTTGTGCCTCCCTAGCAGTCCTTTGTGCCTCCCTAGCAGTCCTTAGCTGTCCTGCAACTCATCAAAAGCATAATTCTATCACCAAAATTTAATTTTTTCTTAAAATTATACATTTTTTGTCATTAAACATACTAACATGTATTAAAACAATGCTTTAGGAGGTATTTTAAGGTCCTTTGTGCCTCCCTAACATTCCTTAGCGGTCCTGCAACTCATCGAAGACATAAATTCTATCACCAAAATTATATTTTTTCTTAAAATAATACATCTTTTTATCTATTAACTTACTACAATATAATATAAAAATGCCCTAGGAAGTAATTTAAGGTCCTTTGTGCCTTGCTAGTAGTCTTTTGTGTACCTGAGCAGTCCTTAGCGGTCTGGCAACTCATCGAAAAAACATAAATTCTATCACCAAAATTTTATTTTTTCTTAAAATTATACATTTTTTCTCACTAAACATACTACCAAATATTATAAGAATGCCCTAGGAGGTATATAAATGTCCTTTGTGCCTCCCTAGCAGTCCTTTGTGACCCTAGGAGGTATTTTAAGGTCATTAGTGCCTCCCAAGCAGTCCTTAGCGGTCCTCCAATTCATCGAAAACATAAATTCTATCACGAAAATTATATTTTTTTCTTAAAATAATACATTTTTTTATCTATTAACTTACTACAATATAATATAAAAATGCCCTAGGAAGTTATTTAAGGTCCTTTGTGCCTCGCTAGTAGTCTTTTGTGTACCTGAGCAGTCCTTAGCTGTCTGGCAACTCATCGAAAAAACATAAAGTCTATTACCAAAATTATATTTTTTTTCTTAAAATTATACATTTTTTCTCACTAAACATACTACTATATATTATAAGAATGCCCTAGGAGGTATATAAATGTCCTTTGTGCCTCCCTAGCAGTTCTTTGCGCCCCTAGGAGGTATTTTAAGATTCTTTGTAACTCCCTAGCAGTCCTTTGCGGTCCTGCAACTCATCGAAAACATAAATTCTATCACTAAAATTATATTTTTTCTTACAATAATACATTTTTGTCTATCAACTTACTACCATATATTATCAGAATGTTCTAGGAGGTATTTTAAGGTCCTTTGTGCCTCCCTAGCAGTCTTTTGTGTATCTGAGCAGTCCTTAGCGGTCGGGCAACTCATCGAAAGCATAAATTCTATCACCAAAATTATATTTTTTCTTAAAATTATACATTTTTTGTCACTAAACATACTACCATGTATTATAAGAATGCCCTCACAGGTATTTTAAGGTCCTTTGTGCCTCCCTAGGAAATATTTTAAGGTCCTTTGTGCCTCCCTAGCAGTCCTTTGTGCACCTTAGCGGTCCGGCAACTCATCGAAAACATAAATTCTATCACTAAAATTATATTTTTTCTTACAATAATACATTTTTGTCTATTAACTTACTACCATATATTATAAGAATGTTCTAGGAGGGATTTTAAGGTCCTTTGTGCCTCCCTAGCAGTTGTTAGTGCACCTGAGCAGTCCTTAGCGGTCCGGCAACTCTTCAAAAAACATAAATTTTATCACTAAAATGATATTTTTTCTTAAATAATACATTTTTTGTCACTAAACATACTACCTTGTATTATAAGAATGCCCTAGGAGGTATTTTAAGGTCCTTTGTGCCTCCCTAGCAATCTTTTGTGTATCTGAGCAGTCCTTAGCGGTCCGGCAACTCATCGAAAGCATAAATTCTATCACAAAATTATATTTTTTCTTAAAATTATACATTTTTTGTCACTAAACATACTACCATGTATTATAGGTATGCCCTCACAGGTATTTTAAGGCCCTTTGTGCCTCCATAGGAAAATTTTTAAGGTCTTTTGTGCCTCCCTAGCAGTCCTTTGCGCACCTGAGCAGTCCTTAGCAGTCCTGCACCTCATCGAAAGCATAAATTCTATCACAAAAATTATATTTTTTCTTACAATAATACATTTTTGTCTATTAACTTACTACCATATATTATAAGAATGTTTGAGAAGGGATTTTAAGGTCCTTTGTGCCTCCCTAGCAGTTGTTAGTGCACCTGAACAGTCCTTAGCAGTCCAGCAACTCTTCAAAAACATAAATTTTTCCACTGAAATGATATTTTTTCTTAAAATAATACATTTTTTGTCACTAAACATACTACCTTGTATTACAAGAATGCCCTAGGAGGTATTTTAAGGTCCTTTGTGCCTCCCTAGCAGTCTTTTGTGTATCTGAGCAGTCCTTAGCGGTCCGGCAACTCATAAAATTTTCACCAAAATAATATTTTTTCTTAAAATTATAATTTTTTTTTCACTAAACATACTACCATGTATTATAAGAATGCCCTAGGAGGTATTTTAAGGTCCTTTGTGCCTTCCTAGTAGTCCTTCGTGGTTCCTTAGCAGTCCTTAGCAGTCCTTAGGCTTAGCAGTGTTTAGTAGGACCGTCATCATCGGTCTTTGTTTATCCTTACAACACATTTATTCAATAATTGCAAAGATATCAAATAGTGCTCAATAAAGCAACATACTTGCCTTTATTTCTTTCAATTTTTGTGGTATTATTCTTTTCTTTCGTCTTGAAATACTGAAAAATATGTAAAAATGATGCAAGTTTAAGAAAAAATAAATGACGATTTGGCGAGCTTGATTAGTAAAATCAGCACTAAATTCCGTTGTAAAAAAAATCTGCGTATTTAAGATTTAATCGAACATTTGTTGCGAGATTTAGGCCTACAAATTTCTCAAAAGATTCCATGCATTTAAAATACTCAAATGAGAAGGAATTCTAGATAATTTATGTAAATTATCATAATTTATGTAAATTATCACACGAAATATATTTTATTATAAAGATAATGCATGGATTGTCGTTCTTGAATGCTCTGTATCTATCCTAAGGTGCTAGTGGCATTGATTTGACCTAAAATGTGTTTGACCTTGTTATTTATACAATAAAATATCAATATATTAAAAAAAAAAAATTAAAAAAAATAATTTTTTTCACTGTTATATTATTATAGATATAGATAATAATATAACAGTGAAAAAAAAATTTTTTTTTTTAATTTTTTTTTTAATATATTGATATTTTATTGTATAAATAACAAGGTCAAACACATTTTAGGTCAAATCAATGCCACTAGCACCTGTGTATCTATCGACCTTCTTGATTATATTCCTGCGCATTTGAACACAAAACAGTTCATTATTCTACAACAGTGCTCTCAAAATTGATATAATTTCCTAAACAAATTTTATACCTGATATTGTCAAAGTCTAATAAAAAAACTACATGGAAATATGTATTTAATATTTGACAAGATCAACCAACATATAAGTACACAGGCCATGACCGATCGGTCCAGTCATGGTAAAGCTTCTACATAAATGATTATGTGGCCAGCACATTTTTTCCCTTGGAATTGTAAATGTGCTTTGAAAGCTGGTTAATCTATAAGTTTATTGCACCGGCTGCCGTAATATACCGTTATATCTCGAGGGTTACTGTTTCAAATGAGCAGACAGCAGTTCAGGCGTCGACAGCTGCACCGGAATATACATGTCGGCGCAGAAAACACAATCGACGGACGGTAAGTATTCATCTATTTTTAACATATCCCAACTGTGTTCGAGTAAATCAATGTTATGGATTCATAGTCCTCGCAAATTAGCGTGTTTTCGCTGCGCGCCATCGCCATTTCTATGTCAAGTTTGAATATGGGTCATCTGAAGTCAAAAACTAGTTGACGCAGCCAAGATACGAGCTCGTATGGAGAAAAAAAACACAACATTTTCAACATTTGCATTACTTAAGTTAATTCAGATGTAGATATAAACGTTATCATATAAGGTTATGACATTGCATCTGCTTTTCATTCATAGTTAACAATATAACTTGTTCATTGTTATTAATTATTTGTAAGAGACTTGATAATAAGGTGAGCGATACAAGGGTCTACACGACCCTCTTGTTTTCGAGGGTTAAACGACCATCTGAGTAACGCTTTTACAAATGGACGTCCTTGTTGAAAATCACCACATTAAACGAAATTTATAAATTGTTTTGCGGCGTTACAAAGCATTCACAATTACATATGTAAAGTATAATTGGTTTTATTATACACTTATGAATGAAATATTGTAATGAGAAATATTCATCAAATAAAATGCGTATTTTCATTTTTCGTATTTTCATTATAAAAAAAAAATATTTTCACTGCAGCGAAACATATTTTCCATATTTTCACTGGTGTATTGCCGGACTACTACCTCTAAAAGTACAGGATTTATTTTCATCTTGTGGTATGAAAGTTATTATATTTCATTACCGCTACTCATGAAATATTCATTTTCATACCACTCGATAAAGATAAATCCTGTATTTATAGAAAAAACTTAAATATCCTCTATGAATTCAAACAGTAATATGTGATACATAATGATACAAAAGTTATCCAGCCATTAAATTATATATGTTCCCTCATTTTATCATTAAAAAAACATAATTTACATGTTTTTAAATTTTAATGTTAAAGTTTGATCAGTATGAATGTACCTTCCAGTAAAGAATGTTTTCAGCTCCCCAATGTATAAAACATAAATAAGATAATGTTACAAACTTTGAACTTGAAGTGTAAAGTGCTAGTTGACTTTAACATCTGGGTTAGTATGCCAGTATCATCATAACTTTTCCACCATGTGGTATCTAGGTGATATACAACACGCGCGTGTAACCTGTCTAGCTACCTTGTCTACTTTTTTCAAATCTGCGGCACTATGAAACTACTCGATCAAGTTTTCTGACTGGAATTCCCTATCTTATCTTACATAACACTCAGTCTGTCAGATACATTTATTGTATAATGGCTGTTTTTGCAATTTTATTTTCATTTCAATATACAATGAATATTCTACATATCGGCTCTCTGTGTAGCAACAACGTCCGCACGTGAACAGTCCTTCCCAAAGTTAACTTTCCGCAAGAAATTTATTTAACCGCTTAAAAGAAGTATATTTTAGCAAAATTAGAGGATTTTTCTGTGATCCCCGATGTAAAATCCATTTTGAGTTGCGCGTGATCTGACGAATAGTTAAAAGTAAAAACATATTGTTGATTGCGTATATTTTTGTTCGGCAACACCGTAAAGCCTTTTGGTGGGGGAAGACTCAAGGTGCCTCCACGTTCATTATTACAGCCTGAAATACTCTCATTAACACTAATTTTAACTAAGTTTGGTCATTATTCGGCGGTCAATCCATGTAACTGGGTATCCTGGATATCTAATCAATAATAAAAAAAATGCAATTGACCGTCTGTAAACTAATCTCATATGATTTCTGAACAAATGACTTCAACGCTAAGTAGAAATTTCGCCTCGTGCGAGGATCGAGCCAGCAGCCCTAGGATCACTTCTCCTATACTCTCCTTATTGAGCCAAGCGGACGGATTATAATAGATGAAATAAGGGAAATAATCCGGTTTGAAAACACACACATAAAACAAAAAAAAACAACAACAAAAAACAAAAAAACCCAAAAAAAACAAAAAAACTCAACATATTATAAGTAAGTAAAATCTTTGTTATAGTGACATGTGTTATACGTATATATTTACACATAAATACACAAAGATGAACACCCGGCCCATAGGACCTATAAGTCACCTTAACAAAAGATCATAATTTGAGCATGTGTTATAGTTTTAACATGTTATTAACATAATTGTATTATAAAGAAGCTTTCAGTGATTTATTTTATGGCAGTAAGACCCAATTTGTATATGACTAAACGTGTAATTATCCAGGTCAGTTAGAGTTCATATAATTAATTGTATTGTTTTTCGGTTTGTTACAGTGACAAATATTAATAAGTATACGCAAAATGTTCACTTTATATCCATGGTCTTTATATTGTTTCATTTGTTTAAGTTTATTTTGTTCAGCTTCTAATGCCTCACAATACAGTTTTAGTTTTGATAATTTCAAATTAAACAAGAAATTAATATAAAAAAGCATCAAAGAAAAAGAAAAAGAAAACAAGATAGAAATAAAATACTACTACTGCTACTGCTGCTGCTACTGCTACTGCTACTGCTTCTGCTACTGCTTCTGCTGCTGCTGCTACTACTACTACTACTACTACTACTTGCTGCTTGCTGCTGCTGCTGCTACTGCTACTGCTTCAGCTGCTGCTGCTGCTTCTGCTGATGCTGCTGCTACTACTACTACTTACTACTTACTACTACTACCTCTACTACTACTACTACTACTACTACTACTACTACTACTACTACTACTACTACTACTACTACTACTACTACTACTACTACGTGCTGCTTGCTGCTTGCTGCTGCTGCTGCTGCTGCTGCTTGCTGCTGCTGCTACTACTACTACTACTACTACTGCTTGCTACTTGCTGCTGCTGCTGCTGCTGCTGCTGCTGCTACTGCTACTGCTACTGCTGCTGCTGCTGCTGCTTCTGCTGCTGCTACTACTACTACTTACTACTTACTACTGCTACTGCTACTGCTACTGCTACTGCTACTGCTACTGCTACTGCTACTGCTACTACTACTACTACTACTACTACTACTACTACTACTACTACTACTACTACTACTACTACTACTACTACTACTACTAATAATAATAATAATAATAATGATGTTGATAAACAGAAACAAAGAAATAAAAGTTGAACATCCAAGACATTGATTTGTGTTGCATTTAATTGTTATCTTAAATATTTTTTTCAGCTTCGGAAAGGGGTTGTTAGGATTAAACGAGATCTATATTGTTGCGACTTAACAATCTTTATAACTAGACAAAAGAAAAAAAAACAAAAACAAAAAACAACAACAACAAAAAACAACAACTTAGGTTAATTAGCGTCTACCTCCATAACAACACATTTGGATTTTGTGAACCTTCAATAATATTTAGTGGAATAGGAACCAAACATATGATTAGCCTGAAATTTGTCTAGCTTGACGTATATTGTGTTATTCAGATCTAAGGACGCTTCTAAAGACGGAGGTTGTATATAAGTGGGAGATTTCGCGTATTTTTTTTACAAAGTTCATTATAAAGGCAGTATGGAGGACAGTACAGTTCTCAGAGTTTTTGGAATAGCGGATTATCTTGTGTTTGGCGCCCTGATTACAATTTCTATCGCAATAGGAATATTCTTTGCCATTAAGGACAAGAAACATATTTCGTCAGCGAACTACTTTCTAGGAGACCGGAAGTTAAAGGCAATTCCCCTTGGCTTATCGTATGTAGTGACATTCCAATCCTCAATTATTTTGTTAGGGTCTCCTGCAGAAGTCTATGTTTATGGTCTGCAATATGCTATACAAATGATTGGAGTATTGGCGGCATTTTACCTTGCTGCCGTAATCGTGGTGCCGCTGTTTCATCCATTGAAGATTACAAGCGTGTATGAATATTATCAGCTTCGATACGGGACTAAATCTGTACGATATCTTGGCGTGATTCTGGGAGTTTTGTATTACACTCTTTATATGGGTGTAGTGTTATTTGGAACTGCATTAGCTCTTGAGTCGACTACAGGTCTACCTATTTGGATTTCAATCGTGACATTTTCTGCCGCCGCTTCTTTATACACGTCTATTGGTGGGATAAAAGCCGTCGTTTGGACCGACGTGTTTCAGTCAATAGTGATGTTTAGCGGCATTCTTGCAGGTTTGTCTTTTAAAATAAATAAATAAATAAATAAAAAAATAAAAAAATCAATCAATCAATCAATCAATTTATTAATTAATAAATAAAGAAAGAAATATTTATAAATCAATCAATCAATCAATTAATTAATAAAAAATGAATGAATAAATAAATAAATATTTATAATAAATAAATCAATCAATCAATCAATCAATCAACCAATCAATCAATCAATTTTTTAATAAATAATGAATAAATAAATAAATAAATGGGGGCAGATTCGTCATCACAGATTATATTACTCCAGTATACACGTATCTTTGTTACATAATAAAAATATTTTCATTCAAAATAATTCAGTTTAATTCCGAGAAGGAAAATGTCCGTGTCAGTAGCAATACTAGTTCCAGTTTACTAATGTCATTGTAATTTATCTTAAGCCAGACGTAAGCTAGTTATTCGTGTACAATCCATTATCGTATATATAGATAGTGAAACCCGCGCTTTTCCCGCGCACAAGGACATCACTTTAAATCTTAGTTCTAAAAAGTATTGCTCTCAGCCTATTACGGCCAAGCACAATACAGTAATTTTAAAAAGACTAGAGGCCGTAAAGATCGGCCATCAAGACATAGGACGGAAGAATATTGCAAAACGGCACGTGTATGTCAAATATTTTTGACCTGTAACATTTATTCATGATTATTCATGATTCGTTAATTTTCCCAACTAACCTAACATTTTTAAGATGTTGTGTGTACAGTACATTAAAATACCTGCGTTCGATGTAGCACGAGTTCACGCGTCTTGGGTTTCGCTATGGTATTATTTTGTACAGCAAACCCACTGTGGCGAAAACGAAATGTCGGTATTTGGTTTCAAAGAGTCCCATAAAAAAACAACTAAAAATGTAATGCCAAGTTTCAAAATTGAAACTTTTTAAAGATAAGCAAACAGAAAAAAGGTTACTGTAATTTAAGCCTTGGATAAGACTAAGTTAAATCCGAAGGGTGTCATGCACACCGTCAAAATATAAACAATGCGATCATAGCCGATTTATTATGCCACAGAGATACTTTTAGCGTTCTGCTGTAGTTTTCTTAAGTTATCCATTGCAAGTCATCTGAGCCATTCCTTGATTTTTTTTATTTAAACATATTTTATTGCTCTTTTTACACATTTATAACATTATATTATCACAATATAAACACAAAAATAGCAAAAGGGTTGAACCACGAGTTCTTACAACATCAGCAAACGGTTCTGAATTATCTAATAATAATAAGACAGTTACAAACCAAATTGAATGATAGTAGAGCAGTTGGGGGACATATAGACAAGGAGAAAGAAAAAAAACAAGAAAAATAAATAAAAATAAAATAAAAAAGGGGATAGAGTTCAGCATGTAGGGATATCAATGAAATAATCCGATTGCCGCCCGATATGAATTTCATTTGAATATTTAAGCAGGTCACACTATTGTAAACATGACAGCAATACAAACGTAAACTGAGTATACAGTCTAAATAACCCTAACAAACTGAACTCTATAGGATAGAAAAGAAAGATAAAAAGAAAAAGTGACAACTTATGTCAGAAGTATAAATGTTGTAGAAAACATAATGGAATAGCCATTTCTTCTTTCAATTAATTATTTAATAGTGACTGAGTAGTTTATGTTGAAGCCATAATACTGCTTTCTTAAAATTGTTTATTCCCTGCAGGTATATTTAACAGGGGTTAAGCAATAAAACTTATATTTGTTTATTGTTCATGACGTTTTAAAACGAAATGCGAACAGCTCCGGGGAGAGTCGTTTGCTTAGTTCGGTTGCAGTCTAAATCATCAAACAATTTCAATGTGGGACTGGACCGTTTAAGATATTTTTAAAGGTTTAAATTCATCCGAATTAGAAGTACCTTTTGAAATGCTTATTTAATTAATGATAGACTCATGCGGCGTTTTTTGTATGGCACAGTAAAGCTCATATTTATTTAATCTTGTTTTGTTTGCTTAGAAACTGAGGATGGTTCGACTGAGGATATGTATAACTTTGATCGAGGAAGACTGTAAATATATTTGTATCATAGTTTGGGACCTTTCTCAGAGATAAATCGTATACATATACATGCACAGTGCGTTAACTGGAGTGCAGGTATTACTCCAGAGCATGCCCATTGATTGGTTCATTTTTGCTGGGGTTTACATATTGTGACGGCAGAGAAAGGGAAAGAGACAGAAATATCATATTCAGATGTTCGTTCATTGGTTTCTTTTTGCCGGGGTTTCATATTGTGACAACAGGGAACGTGTTTTTATGTTGGACTATGAAACAAAAGAAAAAGAACATCAAAACACTCGGCAATCTGATTAATACTTGAGGGCTACGCCCCCTCGTACACATCAGATAGCCCTTGTGTTTCGATGCTCTTTCTATTACATATTTAATCGAATATAATACCAATTAAATGGTTTATAAAGCTGTACTCAAATCTTCATTGATGTAGATAAAAGACGAAGCTTTGAGCATCAGCTTTAAATATATAGGCACAAATGTCCAGCGTGACCATGTGTTAATTTGCACATACTAATGTGAATTGAGGAAACAAATTATTAAACACTCCCTCGTACACATCAGATAGCCTCGTGTTTCGATGCTCTTTCTATTATTTAAATATGTTTCGGTAGTACATTTGTCAGTTTGAAATGAAATATTTAGCGTGAAACGTTTGGTGTCATTGGTGTTTGTAGGACTCTGGCGAGATACCTCGCCACGTTAGTCAGAGCGGCCTATACATCCAACATAAAATACTCAATTACTTAAATAGAAACTTTATTTTACGATTTCATTTGGTTATTCTACAATGGTGATGCACGAAATAAAATGAGTGGTTTAGCTAATTATGCATTCAGTTTTTCTTTCGTATAGTAAAATAAACAGAAAATAGGAAATAGATATCTATTTTGAGCGCGTTGTTGTTATCATTTCTCTTTCTTGCCGTGTATATATCGTGCTATAATGCACTTGATATTCCTATCTGTTTCAGCTAGGGAATAATTTGAAGCCTGTAAGAATAATTTGTAATATCTGGTACTAGCATTGCATGTCGATAATTTTAACAAAATGTTTATTTTTTAAGATTATTCGTAAAAATGACGACCTGACTAGCGTATTGATGGCGAATTTTTGTTTCGCTGTTATATGTAAATACAATAACATATACATGTATATAACTTTTTTTTATATTCGGTGTACCTTAGGTATTTTCGAATCTTCTCGTGACATATTACACTTTATTTAGCAGGTAAAACGTAACTGAGACCAATTTTACGAGGTAACGCCAGCAACGTTTTTTTAATCTCATTTAAAGGAGCTAAATCTTATTTTACCGGCTTCCTTGTATTGTTATACGACGTTTGTAGTTTGACAAATGTCTTAGGTATGCATAATATGAAAAAAAATAGCTTTAAATGTGTTAAATGAACATATTTATTTGAACAAAACACAAACTTCACCCTTGAAAGGTAATCAGGTTGTCTTTCTCACGAATGAACTAAAACAAGTAAACATATTGTAATCGTAATGCTGGTTAAAGTATAATGTCGTAGCAGCCGTATGCGCTAATTCATTTCTTATAATTTGATTCAGAATATGATATTTTGGCTCGTTTACTTACTGTGTAATTTGCCAAAAGCGTTACACAGATTCGGTGTTATTATTTGCACATTCCTGCGTTGCTTGATATGCACGGTGAATTTGCAAAGCAGTGTAATACTGAAAACTGTGTTTGGCAATAATTCAAACATATGCAAGCGAAGTAGAGAAAAATCCCTAATGGTTATTGTAAAGCTACTTCTATCTTTAATTTCAGTTATCATTAAAAGCACCATTAGCGCTGGAGGGCCATCTCAAGTTGCACACATCAGTAAAGATCGCATAAACCTGTTCAACTTTAACCCAGATCCGACCATTCGACATACATTCTGGACATTGGTTATAGGCACTATACCCCAATTCTTTTATCCAGCAGTAACGCAGGCCGGGGTACAGCGAATAATTTCCACACCGCACGTGAATGTGGCAAAAAGAATGTTATACATTGCTGCTCCTATCTACTGCATTGTCTGGGTAGTTGTTATGTTTGAGGGCATATCAGTATACGCATATCACAGTTTGAAAGGCTGTGACCCTTTGGCGTCTGGTCAAATAACCAACCCGAATCAAATTATCCCATTTACAATACTAGAAATGTTTCATGATTTTCACGGAATGTCCGGCTTATTTATAGCAGCTCTTGCAGCGGCTTCTCTCAGCACGATTTCATCGGGATTAAGCGGTCTCGCGGCGGTTACGTGCGTAGATGTGTTAAGGGTTCTTAAGCCAAGTATCGACGACCGGAAAGCCACAAACATATCAAAACTGTTTGTTTTAATGTATGGAATAATATCAGCCTGTCTTGCCTTTTTCTTGTCGAACGTAAAAGGTCCACTGGGTGAAATAATGGCTGGATTCACTGGGGCTGTTGCTGGACCGGAAACAGGAATGTTTCTTGTCTCCGTGTTCTTCCGACGAGCCCGGCATCAAGCCGTTTTCTTTGCGACTTGTGTTGGGTTAATATTTAGTCTATGGCTTATATTTGGACAAACGTTCTCTTCAGACTTAGCCAGAACGCCGTATTTGCCTTTGGGACCAACGGACCAGTGTCCTATCAGAACAAAAAATGCCTCGTATTTTAATTTTGAAAATTCACAAGTTGCTAATATCACGACATCGGCAGCAACTTTCTCTCCGGAGGCTTCCGAGACGAAACCGTTGTCCTCCATCAGCATGTTCTATTCAATATCATATATGTATTTTCATTTAATCGGAACAATTTTAACAATATTTGTTGCAGTTATTGGAAGTATTCTACCTTTACCAATCTACCAGCCTATACAAAAAGTCAACGAAAGCTGTGTCTTGCCGTTCTCCATATTTGTTCCATCGTTCCTAAAGAAGTGTTATGATAATTGCAGGGGGGATAATCAAGTTAAGAAGACTAGCGATTATGCGGGTGAAAATGAGAATATGTTAAGAAAAGAAGAAAGTACAAATATATAACATTATTAAGCCGCGTTTTTTTTTATAAATTTTAGATCATTTTTTTTCTCTAAAGTTTTGAAATTTCTTTTCATGAAATGCTTATAGGTTCTGCACATTTTTGTAATATTTGTTTTGTAAGTTGTTTAGGCATTGTTTCTCCAAAATAGTTTGTTTATTTTCACGGAATATATTTTGATATTTGGTCTTGGAGTTGCTCACTGTCATTTTTATGTTCACCGTGAAATCATTTTTTCGTTTGATATGTTTGTATCTTTTAAATGTTTATATTTGTTTTGTAAAGTGTTTGTTCTTTAGGTCTCTTAAAACGTTTCATTTTTTCCACATGAAATGTTAATATATTCAGTTTACGAATTGTTGGTAAAATATCAAGACATATGTTATACAGTGTAACTTCGGAAAACCGAACACTTGTGGGACTAGCCAAAAAGTGGAAGTTTCCGAATTCAGAAGTTCTGATTTATCTAAAGAAGTAAAAACATTAACCATCAATTGTTTTATTAAGACATGATAAATGATAAAATTAATAAAATGGCAAAATTATAGAACTGTTAAAACGTTTATAATTATATCAAATTTCATTATCACCTATAACAGACTTTGTTTATGAAATAGCACAATGTTTTGTATCACAGTTTATCCCTAAGTATATTTCATGTTGTACTGGCTATTAAAGCGGCACGCCTCCATATTCATGCTAATTTTCATGAAAAATTTGAAAATGTTTTTAAAAGTAAATTATTATGAAATGAACAAAGAAAGTAATAAACACATTGGAATCGGCACTTACAATCAGAGTAAATTACCACAAAGAAATAAAAATATGCAAAAATAGCCTCTACTGCGTTAGTAACGCAGTAGAAATACAGTGATAAATAATCAGTCATTAATTGCACATAAGATATATATTAAAAGTTGAATCATTAATATAATCACTTAAAATCTTAGTACATTTATCCAAAGTTTAATTTTCTTGAAATAGTTGGGCTCATCTGGAGGCATGCACCTTTAACCTGTCATCGTTGTTTTCCATCACAAATGATTCATAGGTTGTGATTCTAATATGACTGTGTCAAGATAAATGGTAAATGCTAATTGGAAGATACTATGGCATGTTAAACGTTGCAAAATTCAATAAATCTTTTTTTTGTCTATAACCAATATTTTATATTGTATAACTAAAATCTATATTCTATACCATAATATTTATTCAATCCTACTGAATATTTGTTCAACATGAAACTATTTGTATGCGATAATTGTCTATATGTAATATAATTGAAAATATATATTGTACAATTAAAAATATTTATTGTATCAATACTGAAAAATATTTATTCGATAATTTGAATCATAAGATAGACCACTCAGCATATTTGCATATTTTGCATTTTGCAACGTTTAACAGGCCATAAGATACTGCCATTTGAAGGTTTACAACCGCAAGTATAATATTCCTTCAAATCCTTTCGATTTCCGAATTTTTGAAGTAAACTTGACTTGATATAAGCAAAATTTGAGTAGAAATTTGTTCGGAATTCAGAAGTTCCTTAATTAAAAGGTGTTTATTATATAGAAAACATATGAAAAAAATTTGGAACCCTGAACAATGTTCGGGTTTAGGAAGTTTCCGAATTTATAAGTTCCGAATTTCGAAGTTACACTGTAATGTGAAATATTTAAAGAAAGCTAAGAAATGTTCAAACATGATCTCTTTAAAATCTCTCTCTTCTTATATTTGATTTTTACAGGTATTTTTCTACTTGTATCAATGTATGAATTATTGTGAACTATTTATATACATGTATATGTATCACTTCTTGTAGACTGATATAATAATAAAAATATTTTGAATTTGACATTGACTTGACAGCCATTCGTATTAAATACCCTTTCTCTCTGGCAACAAATATCAAAATAATAAGCACAGTACTGAATTTATTATATAAGTTGAATAAATTTAGTTCCATTTCATAGGAGCTTCTGGTGAGCAATTTTGTCTCGATTTTCATGAATTTATTATTATTAGGCTAATCGAAGCAATGGCTTAAGATATATAGTAATAATGCAATCTGAGATCAGGTTAGGCACAACCGGCTGTTTTTCTTGTATGCTCTATGTGTTTAACAAACACCATTTTGAGACCACGTTAATATCCTAACTTTACCTTCCAGCGCTTGAAATGTACTCATTTAACCAGAGTGTGCACTGTGTTAAATGTTGTTGTTAAATTTGATGCCAAGAAAGGATATATACTTGGTGTTGTATCTAGCAAAGAAAATTTGTTCTTTAAAAAGAGTAAGTTGTTAAAGTAATGACATTACGCCTAGTAGAATATGTGTTAATGTGTTAAGAACATCGTGACTTTGATAAGGTAGTATTTAAGCATAATGACCCTTTCTACTAAAACACAATCTGCAAAGAACATGTGTGAAGGATAATACTTCGGCCCTTTTGTTTTGTTTTTTAGTTTTTTATTCCCGTGTTGCGATACTTTTGCTAGAGACCCAATAATAATTGGGATTCGAAACAGGATTCGAAACAGGTCTAGTGACGGTCTCAATTCAAAGGTGGCTGAACGGGGTACCTGAGATCTTCCTCCATCAGTAAAGCTGGAACGTCGCCATATGACCATATCAGTATCGGTGATAAAATCAACCAAAAAGATAAACGAACTAAGTCCTGAACAGAACAAATAAGCTTGAATAGGAAAAAACGGCATGATAAACTAAGGTTACACAAACAGAGAGTCATAATTGTTACTGTAACAATTTTCATACGAATTGATATAATTTATTTTTATTCGGTAACGAAATCCAACAACTTACCTATGGTGTATTTCCTCGAGACATTTCAAGCACCTCTCATCACAATTATAACATAAGATCAATTAAATATTATTACACTCTTTCTATATTACATTTTTCTTACTGAAACATAAAACCAAGAAGGGATTTTGGAATTTTTTTACATGTGAGGAAGATATTCGGCATAAGTCCGGTTCGTCGGTGGTTCTACTCGGGTTCCCCCGTTCGTGTCTGAAATAATGCAAAGAAGGGCACCTGAGGTCTTCTTTCACCAGTAAAGCAGAAAAGTTGCCATATGATCTATACTGCTTCGATGCAACGTAAAAACAACTGAGAAAATGGTATAATTAGCATGTTTTATCACGCGAATTTGAGCAGGTCCTGAAAAGTAAACTCATCAATGAAGTTAGAAGTATTTGCATACAGAGGTAACATTTCATTAAGAAATAGTACAGTTTGATTTTTTAATACTTTATATATTACACATACATACTTATTTTTTCAATATTACCCATGGGACGTTCTTGTAATTGTTGTACCATGAAGTATATAATATGCACTTTTATATTGCATTTGTGCAAAGTGTAGTGTTTGAACTTAGGATGATATGTTTTGAATTCATGCACTCTTTGACATATTGCAAATCTTGACATGACGGGAGAATGAGATTTTTCCACCTTACAACCAGTTTATAAATCAAAATAAAACATCGCTTTAAACACAATAAATCAGATGTGTATACAAGTTATCAAAAGGGTTTTATTCTAGAGTCGAGCCTTCACTGTATTTAACTTATCGAAGTTAGATAATTAAAATGTTTGGTGTAAGATAATTGTTGATGTTATAAACTGGCGGTTGACGACGTTTAATTACAGCCTTAATTTGGTACAATCAGCTCTTTCGATTGATTTCCATTTAAATAAAGAGAACTGTTAATCAATGCGGTACGTTACACATAGGAAATGGAAATTAATAGAAGTTGTTCCGTTTGAAAGCAGAACTGAATTGATGGCAAGGGTTTCATGATCAAATGCATAAAATATGAATATGCTTTGAAATAGATTACATTAAATGAATTGCTTTATTTGATGATCGTTTTGCCATGACAGTCATATTATATCGGGTAGAACGAACGCATTAATAACATTCGTTATTATAGTGGGGGATTATTAAGCAGCATTGTTTTTTTTTCTGGACACATATGGAAATAAAAGGTATAAAAAGATATTAAAACATGTATGTGAGTTATCTATTAAAGATATACTATGCTCAAATTTGATATTTGAAAAACATAAACAGATTGTTAATTTGAAACGTAAAATAATCACAAAATGATTACATAGTTTTATTAAAGAAGACTGTCAGTTTTTATAAAAATAGACCAAATTAATTTGACAAGTAACAGGCAGGGAATGCAGCTTTCCATTCATAGTTTATACATTCATTTATTAAAATTAGAGATGTTCATGAAGAATAAACTGGATTTCGATAAATTTCTGCAATAAATATATTGTACATAAAGATGAGCATAGTATACCTTTAACATACTGAAGTAAAAGTACTAATACATATTCTCATATAAAATCTTTTAGTTTGAGTGTGAAAAACGTTGCAACGCTTTTCATCTTTTGTGTATTTCGCACAATAAAAATACTTATTCTGGGAAAACGGAGTGAGGGAATGTAATGAAAATCTTCAAACAAGTTATTAGCCCATACTTAAAGCAAACAGTATGAGTCCCTTCAATACATAAACTATTTCTTTCTAGGATAAAAGCAACATGCTGTAGTAACATGAACGGCAGGTGTTATTTCCAAGTAACGTGTTTTGCGTGCTTCTCTATGTTTATTTGTGCTGTGACATCCCACAGTATGAATGATTCAAAGAAATTACTTAATGATAGAATGCTTACATACGAGAAGACTTTTAGACCAGTAGAGAACCAGTCCGAGCCGATAGAGGTATATATTGGTTTTGAACTTGTTTCAATTCAAGAATTCAAAGAGGTTAAGGAACAGCAAACAGTAGCTGCAATTATAAGAGCTCATTGGATAGACGAATATATGACATGGGATCCAACAGACTATGGAGGTCTTGATCAATTAGTCATCGAAAGCGACAATGTTTGGACACCGAATTTAGTTTTATTAAACACTGTTGAAAAACTCAAGAAAATAGGTGATTCATGGCAGCTAATTCGCTTTTTACCGGACGGATTTGCATATTATTTTCCTGGAGACGTTTTCTCTGCGACATGTCAAGTGGATGTTACTTACTATCCCTGGGACAGACATAAATGTAGTTTTTCTTTTGCTCCGTGGGCACAGAGTGAAACCGAAATAATCTTTAGTCCTATTGGAGATAAAGTGTTCACAACATACTTTTCAGAAAACGGGATATGGCATTTTTACAATTCTAGCATTGGGCATACTCCAGGGAGCTTCTTTATAGATTTTACACTTTACCTCAAACGGAAACCTGTGTTTGTTCTCCTAAATGTCGTTTTACCTATAATATTTATGGCTTTTTTAAATACACTGGTTTTTGCCATTCCAGTGGAAAGTGGAGAACGGATTTCTTACAGCATCACGGTCCTCCTGGCACTTGCTGTTTTTCTTACCTTCGTTGGTGACAACCTCCCCAAAACGTCAAGTCCTATGTCTTTGTTCGGATATTACCTATTGATAGTTCTTATCATAAGCATAAGTATCACACTTACAACAATATTCAATATGCGCTTATATCACAAAGATGAAAACATACCTATTCCTGACTGGATTGTACCCTTTGTTATGTGTTTAAAATGTGAATGTAGAAATATAAAAAACAAACGAAAGTGCAGGTCATTAGAAAACAAAAAAGAAACAATGGACACAGAAAACGAACATCGTTCAAAGAATGAAAATGCCGTAGATAGTTTTAATGGGAGAAAAGCAGAGTTAGAACATAAAAATGATTCGAAAATTTTATGGAGGGATGTCGGTTCTGCGTTCGATAAGATTTTTTTTGTATTTTATTTTATTACAGTATCGGTAGCAACCATTTGGTTTTTCATAAAAGTTTCCGGAAACAACGAAAATGACGTTCATGATTAAAAGAAAGAAAAGAAAGAAAGGACATAACACTCCAAAACCCAACAAATACTTGGATAAATAAATTTATGCAACATTATCATTATCTTCATACACATATTCAACCAAGCGTCGCTGGAGGTATGCTCTATGCGATAATCATGTGGAATGTTATAGTAATTATGAAATAATAATTAAAAAATGTTAAAGATGTGCAATAACACAAATAATTTTCTTTGACAAAGTATATCATTGCTATCATACCATCGTTATTTAGAGTAATTTGATATTTCTTTTCTATCGTTAATGTTTAATAAAAATTGCATATTGAATAGTGAATTTGCCGTTTTGTGTTACCTCGATACTTTGAATCATAGTACATGTATGTTAAAAATACGGACTTTTACACATGCTTGCTTATCGCTGATATACTTAATTATTATTTGACTCGTAAAATATGTATTAAATGCAATGGCGAGCTTTTTTATGTAACGTATTAACCTAATTATAAACTACCATATATGAATAGAAGAATCATACATCGTTTAATTACAATGACAGATAATTCTAAAATACTAAAACAAAAATAAAAATCAAAGAAAGGGGGCATTTATTTATAATTTATTTATCTTAATCATAAATCAAGTATGTTTAACTTAATATCAAAATCACAAAAACAAACAAACAAAATGAGTATCTCATATTATTTTGTTTTACTAGATTATGATATAATATTAGCTATAGTATATCGAGAAGAATGTTACATCGAAGCATCATAGACAAATCAACGCATCATGCGATAACAGCACTTTTTAAAATATTTATTTAAAAGCAATGAAAAAAAAATACAACAGCAAAAACAACAACAACAACAACAATATGTTATGAAGAATGCAGACTTTGTTTGATTGAGTCTGTTCATGAGAGATAATATATAAGTGCAACATTTACGTGTCATACTCCCTAGCACCGGATTTAGCGATGTTCATTTTTTAATAGAAAAACCAAGACAATATCACAATTCTATAATGTTAATACTGTCATATTAGCCATCAGGATAATTGGATCAAAAACCAACACAAATTAAGTATCAAAACATGTTTCGCTTTATTAAGCTTCCTCAGTTGATACATAATTATATAAAAATGACGTAAACGTACAAAACAAACGTCTACGTTAATAGACGTTACATTTGGCGCGTAAAAGGAACGTGATAATATTACAATAAGTATTACAATAAAACATGTGCATATGTATGTATAAATATACTTTTTTAAAAAAACAGCATAATTATATAATTTTCGAAAGGAATTACATAAAATAACTGGATCAAAAGATACATATATTTTCATAGGGAAACTAGGCTAGTAAATAATTACAACAAGTATGAAAACAACAGTTACTTATGTGAAAGTTTAGAAATCGAAAAAAAATGTGCTTTAATCACATGTTGAAAATTGTATAAAAGGGGAGATAATAATTTAGAAACATATTTATCAATCAGTATATTTTATTAAAAGCTATCAAATAAAATGAAAAATGATCTATCTATTATCTATTCAAAATATGGTATTATGCTCAAAATCAATTTATGTTATATGAAATAATGAAAAACCATATGAATACATTACGAATAATGTAGTATATAAATGTAACAATCAAAATTATGCGTGAATAAAGGGAGGTAATTAAATACTTATATCATCGACATAAATAATGTATTTGTATAGATTTAAATAAATTAATAACATTTTTAGATACAGTGAATGACTACTAAAATAGAACAGTCTTTTTATGCCGATATGTACTAAAAAAAATATTGACGAGTTTGTAAAAAGTTGCAAGTATATTTAGATCTACTTGAAAACTGATTTTTAAAATTTGTAAAGCACTTTTGCATTCAAACCCTTCGGGCAAAATGTTTCTAACTTATGTATCCAGTATGTCTCTTTCAAAAGTCTCCCCATATTATCATGAAGTTTATCAATCGGCATAAAGGAAAAAGTCATCAAGTGAGTGATCTTCGGAATTGAAATGAATTGCAACATTAGAAGAAAAATTGGGATGATTATTACTTCTTATATCAAATTTATGGCTGTTCATTCTTTTTTGATACCTGTTGATGGGTTTGGCCGACATACTGTATTTTACATTTTTTACAAGTAATTAAATAAATCACGTCACTAGAAGTACAATTTCCATCAAAATGCATTTCGAATGTTTTCTCCAGTATTTGTACTTGTGAATTTACTATTTTCTTCAATATTTTTACAGTGAGTACATCTTTTTCTATTACACTTATTAGTTTTACCGTTCATATTCCGTTTATTTAGAGTTGAATGGGTAAGGGAATCTTGAAGATTTTTGGGACGACTGTATGCTAAGATTGGTTTATGATTATGTAAATTTTTAACACTGTCATTTTCTGACAACATTAAAAGATCCCAGTATTTATTTATGATAAGACCAAGATGGGGAAGAGACGGATTATATGGGATAACAAATGGTATGATTTTTTTTGCTGCTCTGTTATATATTTTGGTTATTTTCCAGAGCTTCTTCTTGGGTTGAAATATTTTACTTTTGCAAAAGCAGATTTCAGCTTGCTATCAGGATAATTTCTGATCTTGAAAAAAGATTCTAAATTTATTAGACATTCATGAAATTTATCATTGTCTGAAATGATACGTCTGTAACGTTTGGCTTGGCTGTATGGTATACCCTCTTTACATTTATTAGGGTGGCATGAGTTATACTCCAGATATTGATGGACATCTGTAGGTTTTATATGAATTTCCGTTGATAAAGTGCAATTTTCATTTTTAAGAATCTTAACATCAAGAAATGACACATTTTCTTTCGACATATTATATGTAAATTTAATTGTTGGGTGACATGTATTTAATTTGTTTATGAAATCATGTAAGGCACTTATAGAATGATCCCATATCATAAATATATCATCTAGAAAGCGGAGCCAAGTCGTAGGTTTAAGGTCATAACTGTTTAAAAAATCAGATTCTAATTTACCATGAATAGCGATGCGTATGTAGGGGCCATAGAACTACCCATAGCGGTACCTAAAATTTGTAAATAATTTTCATTATTAAATTGAAAATGATTACTTTTAAGTGTCAATTTAAGAAGAGTGCATATTTCCTCCGTTGATAATTTACTACCACATTTTTCATTATCAAGAAAGTATTTACAAGCAGCTATCCCATCTTCATGTGGGATATTTGTATACAGTGAAGTTACATCCAAAAGTAACAAGTACTGAATCTTTTGAAAGTTTAGGTAAAGATTTTAATTTACGCAAAAAATCAGAGGTATCTTTCACATACGACGGTAATAATTTCATATATGGTTGTAATATAAAGTCAAGGTATTTTGAAATATTTTCTGTAAAACTATTGCATGCAGAAACAATTGGTCTGCCTGGATATCCTATGGGTAGACTTTCATTATAATCTTTATGAATTTTGGGCAAGATATAAAATTGGGGCGTTCTTATGATGTCTGGAAAAATGTCAAATTCGCTAGTTATGTTACTGTTTATTTCCGATATCTCGTTTATACAGTTTTGAATATTAAGTTTTATTTCCTGAGACGGGTTATTGTCTAATTTTGAGTAATATTTATTATTATTCAATTGGCGTTCCACTTCATGAATATAGTCAATTTTGTTCATTATAACTATCATATTTGATTTATCTGCTTTTTTAATAATGATAGATTCATCTTTGCAAAGTGAACGTAGTGAGTTCAATTCTTCTTTAGAAATATTTGTGCGGTATAGTTTCTTGTCATTACTTTTAAGAATTTCTTGTGTAATAGCTTCTATATAAAAGTCTAAATAAGTATCACGGCCGTTAGGGGGAATAAATGTAGACTTACGTTTATTAAAGAATGGCATTTGTTTGAATTCCTTATGTTCACTTTTATCATTATTTTCATAAAAGTATTCTTTTAGTCTAAGCCGTCTTGCAAAATTATAAGTTTCTTCAGCAAGTTTAATTTTATCATGTGATTTGGGTTTTGGGCAAAATTTCAATCCTTTACCTAACAGAATGTAATCAGTTTGTGTTAATTTTCTAGAAGAAAGATTTAATACCGTTTCTTTCCCTCGTTTGATTTTCTGAATTCTTTTCTTTTCTCGTTTCCATTTATTCTTGTCTGTTGTTCTAATAAATCGTCTGTTTCGTTTTGTATAGTGTTTTTCTCCAGGAGTGTTTGAATAGTTGATAGAAGACTCAAAAGGGTTTTGTGCATCGTTGTTGTTGATGTTGTTGCTAATGTCGATGTTGTTTTCCCCATTTTTACGGCTTCCGCATATGTGTGGTTCTTTGTGCCCGGGGATGAAGAGTTTTTTGGATTTTCATTGTTGATGTCATTCGGTGATATTCTTTTGGTGACTTTTTTTGGACCATTTTGTTCGTGATTATCATCGGATGTGGCATTAGGATTTGAGGCTTCGGAGATTCGACGATTTTCTTTTTTCTTTTCTTGTCTCTTGTTGTTTTTGACAGCTTTTTGCTTCTTTTTACTCATATTGTTGTTCTTTTTATCAATTTTGTTTTCAAGAACAGTTTCCTTAGCCATCGGCATTCGGTCTAAGGCTAATAAGTCATTCTTCAGCCCGATAAGCAGACCATTATGAAAACACATAATTATTGACATTTATTAATTAACTACAGATAAACTAAAAAGATAATTACTTAGTGAACAAAAATAACTAATGTGAAATTCCGTTGTTGTGAGGTATTGCAAATGAGATTCTTGTTTGAAAAAATGTCTCGGAAACCTACCTTGCAGCAATACAAAATGACGACTTTTTCAATAAAAAAATATCATAACTGCTGGAGTGCCAATCAAGTCCTCCAATCTCATTATAGCCGAGTTTTCTCATAAATGCCGTTCTTTTTGTATAATGGTTTTCTTTTTTGTTATAATGTTATGGTGAACTTTATATTAGCCTTACATTTGAAGTGAAAACGTGCCTTATATCGAAAAGTTAATTAATAATGAAGTACATAAATCAGATTTGAGAAAGAGATTCATTGGAAGCAGTTAAAATAACAACAATACCAAGAAAAATTATTGTACTTAGTCAGTTACTTAGGTTGAATGCGCAATTTGTCTGAAAATATTACCTCCATTCAAAATAATTATAACAGATATGGCAAGTAATATTATAATTTAGGCCCACTGAAACTTCCCTTTGGACAATTTTAAATTGAAAAAAAAATC